AAATCTAATTTGGTAAAATGGAAATAAATCCTAATTTTTATTCCTTCCTGGTGCGACGGAGCCTAAGCTCACCTAAAGTTTGTGTATGCGCTCATATTTGTCAATATATTATAGCTTTTTTTGGTCTAAAGGCTATACATACATAAAGGCGCCTGAATACGGTATGCATAACACCACCTACAATTCTGGTACACTTCTAAGGTACTCATTTCAATGCGAAGTAACCATCGCATCCTCAGTACAGTGGACCAGTATACCCGTTTCATGTAAATGGCGCCGACAACGAGGGCAACTAAAAGATGACATTTGCCTTGTCGCAGGCCTGTCAGTGGGCATTTTCAAAGTCGGTGCCTACTTACAACCTGCCTATTCATCCACACACCTCAACAGCGCTTAGCGCAGTAACGACTGACCCACTGAATGAAGGCACAATCGAGCTTTTTCCCTTCTGCATATATTTCCTTCATAGTTCCGCCTCTATCAGGGAGTTGCAAAGCATAAGAAGTGAGAGCACAGACCGTGCTTTAGTTTCGAACACGATCACTGAAGGAGAATGTCTAAAGAGGCTGTTTCAGGATTGGGCCTGATTGCCTGGTGTCGCTTGCCGGCGTTCGAAGCGGCTCAAAATGAAGGGCGCGTACTGGGTGTGGTCAGACTAACGGAGCTGTGGAAACCGATGGGCTTTCTATTCAGCTGTCTACAGCACATTCAAAAGATGCGTCGGTCCTAAGCTTCGTTTAGCTCTTTGCTTACCCGAACGCTGTGAGCGCTAGTGTCTCATAGCTGAGTTTTCTCTGCTTGTCTATGATTATTCTCATTAGCTACCAGCAAATCAGAGGGAACCTAATGCGGTGTTTCAATGATGTTGAGCAGCTTTTCGATCTATCTTACTATTCGTCGCCTGGTCACAGCCCTGCGCAATGCTCTCAATTTAAGTACATAAACATAATGTGAACATGGTTCGCGACTAGCTTGCTAGAACGAGTCGCGCAACAGCCGACAAAGCGAGAGCGGCTAGACCTCAAGAGGTGCCTACACCAACGAACGTTGTAGCAGTCTAAGTGAAGGGCCTAATTGAGCTTCAAAGGACAACAAACGAAAAAATCCTTAAGCGATATTGATGGACAGGGCTCTTTGGCGCTTTTGTAGAAAGTATATGTAGACATTTGTAACTACCTCCAAGTTCCTTGAACAGCATACACTGCTTGTTTTGTGTGAATAAAGTGAGGAAATTATATTAATGCAATATGTGTATGTGTTGCGTCACGGTAGTTTCGAGACTGTGTGAAATTATCAAACTTCCGAAGTCTCAAATTCAATCCTGTCATAAGCATCTATGCAACATGTATCCATAAGGGAAGGTTTTCTTAATATATGCATACATATATGAGTATACTATAATGCTTCCAACGAAAGCTTCGAATGTAATCGTCTGAAAGATAGCTAGAGCTTGTAGAACCATATGTACGAATTGACCCCACATGGAGCGCCACTTGTCGTTTTGAGGGCTGTCAACATTTTGCTGAAATAGTACCGTGTACATATATTTTAGAGGAAATTTATTGTTTATTGTTTCTGTGTTAATTTCATTAAAGACACCTATTCTTTTATGGCTTGCGTGCACCAAATACTATACGCATGTCCGAGGTACCTCATATACGCTGTTTGTTTTTTAATTTGTTTCATTGCTTGGAAATACGTATCATATTTATCAGAAGCTTCACCTTGTATGGTAACGTGCTATTTAATTGTAAGTCAAAATCCCACCTGATTACTTAGCGTCTTCAATGGCATTTCTATCTTATTCTCACTTGGGTCAGAGATAAGTTATTTATTCTACCATCTGAATCACACATCATCAAGTCATATTGCTCATCTTACTTTATTTATTTAATCACACGAGTTACGTATCCGTAATTGCAGAACTTGCTCTAAAAATTAACCCTGTTGTCTATTACGAACTGTATTTTCACAACCTGTGTACATTCGATCATAGATCGGCCATTTCGTTTAGAAAGAACGTCTCCCAATTCAAACGTTCATTTCCAGCGTTGCACAAAGTTTTCCAAGAGCAATTCGTTCTGTAGTTTGTAAATGTATTTTTCTCGTTCCGTGTTTAGGCATCGAACCGCGAAAAAAGACGTTTGATACATCAGTTCTATTGAAATCGGTGAATGTGTTTCTTCTGATACGACTAGTAGAGAAACTACATTGGGTCGAGCGATTTGTCGCATTGGGCCTTCTCTTCTCAGCTGACCCATCGAGTACACTTCAACTGTGATCAGCAGCGAATAGAATCGGCCAAGGCTATCCAAGTACCGTTTGTCACAGAATGTTTCTACCGCTATCAAAAACTTAGTCGATTTAATCTGCAGCCACCGTAGCAGCGTCTGAGATAATAGTGTGTTTCTAAACTGGGTAGGGTTCTATTATTCGTTAGACTTAATGTAGGGCTAGTTTGTTGGCACTGGTCAAGGATGGTATTTGTCTTCGTACACAGGAATAATGAACTATTATAAAATTCGACTCGTTCGGTTTAATTAGCTTCAAGGTTTTTCCTCAAGATACTCAAATGGACGGACACTCAGTCTCGCTGACCTTTCTTACCTAAGTATTTTGTATTTGAATACAGCATTTATACGGTATCTAACTCATCGCGAACGAATTGCTCGTAATCCGTTTGTGATGAGTGAGAAAGTTTATGGGTAGTCACAGCTCCTTACCATCTGGCATTAACGAAATATGCGGCGGAAGCCAATTCTGTAGATAATAATCCTAAAAAACAAACGAATAAGCAATAGCTTTTCAGTCAATATAGTAGTAATCACTCAGTCAACTGGTCAAGCTACACTAGCTCTTTAATCATTTCCTTGCTTCGCTGTCTTCTAACGACTTCGTAAAAATCCCCCCGCGTATTCTATAAAAATAGACTATCAGAAGGGCCGTGAAGCTATCTTGCTGAGGTTCATGTTTTAGTATAGCGCGGAAACGCTGTTATAACAATTGCTTTCACTGAAGCCGTGCTCGCGCGAGTCACCCATCTAAGCCACTCTATGTGTTTGTTTTTCGGGTCTACGCGCCCTTGAACATGAGTCCAATACTTGATGTGGTATAAAGCTATTATGCCTTGAGACGCAGAAGCAGCTCCCGTCGATTATTTGAAGCTGTTGATCTGCTACGGAAACACTTACAGCGTGGACGTGTACTTGAAACATTGAAACACCGTCTACAACGTACGCTCGTACGTTAATGAACAGTAGCAGCCTCAATGTCTAGGTACCGAAAGCGAAAAAAAAAAGGTTCTTTTTTGCCAGTGGCAGCTTTAAATGTCAATAGTTTGGTAAGCAGATTAGGTCTATTTATTTAAGAATGTTTGATCGTATCCGCATAGCGTTGCCTGTTTCGTGGAAATTACAAACAGGCACACTTTCATTGAATGTTTTTTAGATGTACTTCACCTTGTTAACTTTGTTTAGTATATATTTTCATACTATGGATTTAATAAAAATGATCAAAAAACTGTAATGCAACGAAACATAATGGTGTCCTTTTTCAAATACTTTTCCTTCTTTAAAAATGCACCCTGCCCCGGTTACCCATAATGGGCAAACAACTCATTAGCTGATATAATGGGCCGCGATTACTTGACTATAGTCAAGGTTGTTGAGACTATGAGATCTGAACGATAGTTAGGTGTTTGGATGTTACATAGCCCAAGCAAAAAGCGCTAGAAAACACGGGATTTCATTGTCTCTCAACATCTTGTCATGCAACGCGCAACTCACAGGCACGATGACAAATCCTATGCAGAATTGTTATAGGTGACAAGAAATTATTCCTGTATCAATATAAGGTAGAGTACGGAACGGAAAGTTTGTTAAGTAAGTACGGAAAGTTAAGCTATGAATTAAGTTAAATCTTCATTGTGATTTATGTTCAGTGCAGCTAGAAAAGTCTAACGTGCTGGAAAATTCTTGAAAAAACCAAGATGGTCAACAAACTTCTTACATGGCCCGATTGCATTAAGTAAACAAAAAGGAGCCCAAACCATTTTTATGAAAATGCATGGCGTAGTAAACGTCGTCACTCTTCGTCAGCTTCGGGAAAAGTTTTTTTGCTATGATCCTATCCTCAAGTGGAATTTGTGCTGTTATTCGAAAATGAAAAGTATCTTGAACACTGACCGAACGAGTTGTTCAACTTCTGACCTAAAGATGTGTGCCGAAACAGAAGCAATAAATTGGATCGGGAAAGGTCGTAAAAAGTCGCAGCGAACAAATAATGAAGAAATTTGTTGCTAGAAATATAGTGAAGGGCTGCGCTTTCCTTACTGAAAAGACTAGTATTATTTTCTGTGCGGCCTACTGTAGCAGGGCAAACATTGTGATACATGCGTAAAGTATTCATATGTATATATCACAATTTGTAAAACGATGGTGACAGCCAACATCACCAAGCAACATAATCTTAGATCTATGCGCCCGGTCCGATACAACTTACGAGGGTCTCTTCGTCAATGGCATAAAGACAACAAGCAGAAGCCGCCATTATTTTCGTTGTCACCTACTTTTGAAACATACCCAAATCCCCTGCCGTGGCCTGAGCTGCCCCGCCGAGGCAAAATTTCTTTTTTCCTCTACTTTTCGGCTCTTTGATTAGGCAGCCAGCTAGAGCCATTGCATTACCAAGAGTCCCCATTTCATAAAGGCACGTTTCTCAGCAACCTGCTGCGGGCTCACAGCATTCAACTGGTAGGGTCCTCAGCGTCGGCGGCGGTAGCGGCAGCATCCCTGTCGTTTTTGTCACCGTGGACACCGTTCGCTGGTCTACCCTTCCTTCCTTACTCTTTGTCGTCACCAGCGCTTGCCAAAGTAGCTTTTCGCCGTCTTTTCCGACTCTCGCGTCTGAGTAGTACCACTCACTCTTTCACCCTATAAATGGTACACGCCAAAAGCTAACTGCAGCTCGAGGCATTAGCTGCTTGTTCTATCGGTACGTTGACAATACTACAGGTCACATAGCCTGTGCGAAAGAAATACTGGCTACTCAAGAACTGGTGCATTTGCGTACGTTTTTGCCAGCACTTATTGCTATATAGCGTAGTCGTATTATGAAAGATTTGCAGCTTTATCAATTTACGTGTGTTCTACAGTAGTAGTCGATAGATTCAATAGACCCGCGTGCCTTTTCGACAAAAAGCTATAGGTGCTAGGATTCATCTACAGGATTCGATCCGTCGTTGAAGCTGGATTCGTTTCAAGCGCAGAGTCGTCTATTATGAAGTGAAAGAAAGCAGAAACGAGTCTTCCTAGCGCGCACATAATTAATCCGCTAATAATTAATTGCTTGGCGCCTACCTTTAGATTAAACGTGGAGTGGATCAAGTTCTACAATAGAGAAAAAATAGTGATTTGTGCTATTTTAGTGTGAATGTGTTTCTCATTACGTATCATCAGTTTCGTACTCGTTGAGCTTTGTCGACCGCACTTTAATTGTTATTCTAATTCGCAAGACGTGCTACAATGCGTGACGGACTAGGGGGAGAACCAGCAGTGTTTTCCTGTTCATTATTCTACTTCCTATTTCGTATAGCTCCCCTAGCTCATCCTGCTCACTGAAATTCTACAGAAGTGTTTTGCTTTCATGCACAATTTGCATTTGATATTTAGGCACTGTTTCCTTCTTTCATTGCGTCGTATCCTATATGTTCTCGTAGTATCCCCCGTTATTTTTGATGTCGTCGGCTACTGCTCTTCACCCTCGTTTTTTCAAAAACTATCTTCTTTTTGTTATTACCTTACATATGATATTTATATGTATGTTTAGTATACACAGATATATGTGGATATTTTCTCTGTGTTCTCTGACGATCTTTTTCAAAAAATTTTTTTGCGTCTCCTCATGCCCTCCCTTTGATTTATCAGTTTTCTCGTGTGCTTCCTTTTCCGAAATTCCTAGGCAACTGCCCCTTTCTCCTGATAGATTCTTTCTCTACTCGCTCTTTAAACGGAACCAACATGACCACTAAACCCACAGTTGTGATCTTCTTCACGCCATACCTTTTTTGCCGTCTCTCCGCCGTCTACTAGAGTCAGATGAAAGCGCAGGAAGGCGATATCGGCGTCAAACGTCGCTGTTTCTCTGCTCTTCCCGAATGCTCTCTTGTCCTTGTCAGCGTTCCCCGTCCAGACCTCGCCTGGTAGCCCCTTCACGACCTCTTCATCTCGTTTTTCGCCCTTTGTTGTAGTTCGAGATGAGCTCACATGCGAGAGAGTTTTTAGCCCTCTGGCTAACGTAGCATTTACGTATGGTATTCGTAGTAGTAGTAACAGTAGCAGCAGCAGCACTAGTAGAAAGGGCAGAGTTAGCAGGCGCTGAACAGCTGCGTTCTCAAGAAAGCTAGAGGAAAAAGGAGACCAAAAAGGCGGCTGCAGCGGCAGCGGCTGGAGAATCAGTTGTGAAGTGCAAGAAGTTTTTGTGAGTCGTGAAAAAGGTCGTGCGGAACCTGTGAGGGCAGAAAGGTATTTTTCTGTGAAATGACCACTCATGTCGACGCTTATGCCCTGCCTCCATTTTCACACCTAGCTCAACTTCTGCCGTCGTTATTATTATTGTTGCTGCTACTACCGACGCTGATGCCGCTACCGCTGCGGAAGCTTCTGTTTTTAGGCAATCAGCTACCGAGGGCACATCATCACCTTCAACGCGTTCACGCGGATACACACACAGCGCTTACCCGTTTTCGACCTGCTGGATTCCTTATCCTAACGACTTCCCCCATGAACCCCGCCCTTTACGCTTTTAGCTTTTTTTTTCGTCTTCCTTCGTGCACCCCTATATTCTTTTTGTTCCCTCTCTATATATGTGTCGAGACCGGCCGTCTGACCGTCCCTTCCCTAGAAGCTTAGATTTTCCGCCGGTTATTGCGGCTATCGCCGATTAATTGCCAAACCCGGCTTTTCCCTTTCTTTCTCTCTCTCCATCTCTCTCCTAAGTTATCCACGTTAATTACTATTTCATTCGCTGAAAAATCATGTCATCATACTTAGAGTGTAGATACCTATTGGAGCATTGCACTGGTTGGACAACAGCAAAGGCTACTGGCCTGCCGTTAAACCCCTTTGCCTCTTCGGGCTTCCCTCCTATATGCCTCCGCCTACAATCTCCGTCCCGCCCTGTGATTTAAAGAGTTTGCTACTATTGTTGTACTGCCTCGTCATTCTAAAGTTGTCCTGCTGCTTTCGTTGGCAGTGCCGGTTGTCGTGGGTGTTACAACGAAACGCTCGCTATGTCGGATTACGACAGGTACGACGATCACTGCTTCATTTCTTCTTCTTCCTCTTTCATTAAATTCTTCGTTTCTTCTGTTTTGGTTTTGGCTTTTTAGTTTTCTTTCAACCCCCCGTTCCGTCCTATCGGAACTTGCCCGCTTTGTGACCTTTTGCGTTGTTGCCCTTTCGATTCGATTGTGACCTTTCTGCCTGGTCTGGTATCAACTCGGGGTGCGAATACCATCTCGGAAGTAGTGAGCACATATGTAGGGGCAAAGCAAAGGGATCTCTTGAAAAGGATAAAGGCTATTGGTTTCAATTGTACAGTGATGTGTCTTAAGTTAATTGTACAGTCTGATTTTAGAAACCGGTTTCGTAACTTTTCCTAATGATTGTATCAAAGGGCCTAGTAACTCTTTAATATCCGGAAACATTTCGAATATCCTGAAATGGCGGCGGTGCCATTCTGTCGATCTGAACGCACGTACTTCCGAGAAGGTGACCGACCTAATGTCGCTGCTAGAGGCACACAGCGCCATCTAATAGCGACCAAAAGCGACGTAAACTCTAAGCGAATGACAACATTGGTGGCAGCCTAAAATGTTTGCTGTTTAAACACTTCACGAAGGCCAGTTTTGCCTTCGGTAACGACCCGCTTGATTTAACCTTTTTTCAACAACCTTGGAGAACATATATGTTATCGCAATGTAACATTTTATACGGAAGGCACAACGAAGAACTACTGTCTTATTCGATCATTCTCCGTCGGGGGGATTGCAAAGCTATAATAGATCGGCATTATGCTTGTCGAACAAGATGTACGTAGCAGTCTGATTTTGGCAATCCATGTTTCGATTAGGGCTTGTCCGTAGCGTCTCACACGAAACAGTGTAGCCCGCTTGATTCCTTGCATCTGCCGAAGCCCACATTTATACTGCATTAAATCTCCATGTTCATGAGCCTCTTGTCAACTGTTTGAAGATAAAAATAAGGTTTGATAGTGACAATAACTTCCGTGCGCTCACCCCGGTCGCTCAAGGCATGTTGTGCTGTCGGATAAACATTCGCCAAGTTTGCATGCGGAGGTCAATCCAACTAATATACTACTTGTAATTATTCTTCAGTTAGTCAGGTTAACCTATTAGCGCTAGTTTATAAAGACATTAACAGCCCGTCGATGTTTGTATGCACGTGTTGCATATTGTTTAGAAGTAGGATAATTTTATTTTCCTAAACGAGAGCTGATTTTTCCGAGTTTAGGGAAAGTTATATCTGAACAGAGAAACAGTTGTATATTACACTCATGTTCACTTTTGACTAGAACTAACAAACTAACGAACACGCAATTAAGGGCGTTGTGCGTGCCGTTCACCTTCGAGTAGAACACCATCAACAAATATCACCACATTTTTCTGGCAGTAAGCCTAATTTTTAAGATACTAGGCTGTGCCACTGAGCAGAATGTTATAGAATGGATTGTGCGTGAATGATTGCTCTACCAAAATAGTCCGCTCTCTCTAGTCAGCAAAAGGGTCAAAGAAGGGCGTCCCGGACATTTTCGCAGTGTAAATGTATCTGAGCATCTGAGAAACTTTGTGCACAGGTCGAAAACGACCGTTTTTACAAACTGAGAGCTAAGAATCAACATATACTAGCTCTATTAACAAACGCCAACGAAACGACAACGACAGGCCCCGAAAGTTGATCATCGTCAAGCCTTACTTATAGCACGTTTCCAAGGCCTAAGAACATACATAGAGATACCCAGCGATACTTGTTCATAGTGGTCTTTCTTCTTTGCAACAGTTTTCACCCGGTGATATGTATATATATATATATATGTCACCGGAGGACAACGTACGTTTCGTTTAGCGTTAATAGGTACAGAAGACAGTAACGAAACTGGACGAAGATTGCAAGCATTGCGTCCTTCTCTCCCATTGCGCGCCAGGACTAGGGATACCTGGTTGTGGTCTGAAAGCTAGTTCCTTGATCACTTTTGCTAGTTGAAAGGAGAACCCCACAGTCCCTTTTCACATTCAGTACGGCTTACAAGTAAAAACTTGTAAACGGCACTTACGAACAACTATGCAAGTTCCGAGCTTACCTGCACAGCCGCCGACAGGGACCAAATAACACTGGGAGTTTATTAGTTCTTATTGTATAGACTACTTCTGTTCCTTATTCCTTTGGGGTTTCGTGCAATTTCATACATATACAACTGATGCAAACGATTAAAGAGTCCTGCCTCATGTATTTGGAACTGATGGAAGTTCCCTTGATGTCAGTCATGGTGCTCCTATAATTTAAGGTTTATCCTATCCAAAATATTAACAATAATTTGAATTCAGTAGATTAGCATGATCACGCCTTAGTGTTATACTGTCCTCGGAAAATATCTACGGCCGCGACTTCAAATTGAATTGGAGCTCTCATGATACGTTTCTATTTCACATAGTAGATCGAATGAAACAATGACACGTGGCGCAAACATCTAAAGATTAGGCTAAACTTGCAGCATTGACCACATTTTGCATTACTATCGCCAAGCAACAGCAAGAGCGAATTTGAAATGCAAATAAATGCGAGCTTGTCTAATGATAAAATCCTTTACTTAGTTCATGAACAGAATAATACGCCCATGAGATGAGGATGAACGGTGTGGCATGGCGCATGGCCGAATATGTGCAACAGACCATTTGATCTTTTTATCTATTATTATCTACGTAATTATTGGAAGGTCGCAGCGACCAGTGTTAAGGCTCTAGTATACAGTTAGGCTGTTGTGCATTTTTAGATACATTTTTGAAAAATATAAATAATTTTAATAGAAATCAATATGATGATCCATTCAGTAATTTTGATATCTGTTTGCTTATGCTGTAGTGCTCGTCGTGCGTCGTGCCGTCCAGAATCTAAAACCATGTCGGAAGCCGAAATGATCATGGAGGTTAGTATCGCTTCTCACTACGTTTTTTGGAATGTTCTAGGCAGTCTACTCGATCGAAATGTCACCTTACTTTTATGGGTAGCGTCTAGACTGGAACAGTGCAACACTGGAAACAAAAAGAGAAACACTTCATAGAATGCGCCATCGTCACGAGATATATAAATTGCATTATTTATTCGGATCAAATGAGCGCCGGCAGTGTTTACGGGTTAGATTACTGCATGTGCATTTATTATGGCAGCTCGGCATAGCTCTTTTATTAACCAGCGGCTTTGAAACGCCTTTCGGGCAACCACAGGAGAAGCTGAGAAAAAAGAAGGAAGAGGAGGAGGAGATGTGGCGCGAGTACATCGAACAGCGTAAGGCCCAACGTGCGAAGGAGGATGAGGAATTGCGCAGGCTAAAAGAACGCCAAGCCAAACGTCGGGCGGCACGTGAGCAACAGGAGGCCGCCATGATGGAGTATAAGAGGCGCAGCGAGGAGCAACGTGCCCGAGGTACAAGATCCATGGATATGTGTCTCGCCCAAATCTTTAGCATAATCAATTGTTCGATTTCTCGCGAAGCACGGATTACTCAATGCATAGAGGAACAGACATATATATATATATATATTAGTTGTATAGTAATTTTCTATGCCACGCACGCATCATTATAAGATATTTGAATAGATCACTTCTAGCTAAGAATAGTTCCATTTTTGCTCTTAAAAATGCTTAAAAACCATGTAGAAACGTATAAACGTCTTGACCGATATAGAAATGCTAATGTCCGGCATCCAGCTTTGGCAAACAACTGTCTCAATAAGTTGTTATTATATTACAGAGGTTGAGGAAAAAAAGATCAAGGAGGCTGAGGCTAAGCGCAAACGTTTGGAAGAGGCTGAGAAAAAAAGGCAAGCTATGCAAGCTGCCAAAGAGAAGAAGGAGATGGAGCCTGTCAGGCCTAACTTTAGCATCAACAAGAAGGAGGCGATTGATATGGGCAACGCCCTAGGCACTTCCAACTTGGACAAATTCGCTAACATCATGCACGCGCGCGGTGAAATGGGCAAGACCAAGGAACAGCTTGAAGAAGACAAAACCACTATCCTAGCGATGCGCGTACCGCCTCTCCAGATTGAGGGTCTGTCCGCCGATGAACTCAAGAAGCGCGCCAAGGAACTTTGGGAGCGTATCGTCTCGCTGGAGTCCGATAAGTATGATCTGGAAGACCGTCAAAAACGTCAGGATTACGATGTAAGTTTCATCTCGTCACAAAAAATAAACATATGACACAAATTGTATTTGTGCTGTTTCAATCAACGTTCATACATTACTATTTCTTCTGATCAGTAAGTTATTGCTTCGAACTGAGTTCAAATGTCTGTTGTGAAGTTAATATTTTCGTGTCGTTGTTTTTGTCTTTGCCTATTGCTAATAACAGCTGAAGGAGTTGGCCGAGCGTCAGAGGCAGATCAACAGGAATAAGGCATTGAAGAAAGGTCTTGACCCTGAGGCTTTATCTGGAAAATATCCTGTAGGTATTCGTAAAGTGCACTGCCTAAGCTATGCATTCAATCAAAGCTCGTGTATCTTAGTAAAAGTGAAAAACATACGACCGGTATAATACATTTGTTCCCAAGCTGACTGCGCTTCTCTGGTATTATCTCATTTATAGCCCAAGATTCAAGTTGCGTCGAAGTACGAACGCAGGACAGACCGTAGAACATATGAGGATAAAAAGGAATTGTTCTCGGGAGGCTTCGAAGCGGCCTATGATGCCGACCTCGAAAAGATCTGGGAGGAGAAGATGATGGCATTTAAGGAGCGCGAAGGCCCTAAGGAACTGCCCAAATGGGACCCTGAGAATCCGAAAAACAAACAAGTGTACGATCGTACCCGTGCTGACTACGATGACGACGACGAGGACGATATTCCCGTGCCGGTGTTCAAGCCGCCTGAGGATTTTATGATGACACCAGCACCGCCCGCCCGCGAGCCTGAGCCCGAGCCCGAAGCTGAGGAGGAAGAGGTAGGCCTACGACTGTCATTTACGCGTTCATGCCCTGCTATAATTATAACAATCATCATATTATTAAATAAGAAGGGTAGGCGCGCCAGTGATACGGACAGATAACAAACACCGTTTCTAATTAGTATATTCGTTTCAGGCTGAGGAGGAAGAAGCGGAAGAAGAAGAAGAAGAAGAAGAAGAAGAAGAGTAAATTTAAAACACTTCTAAGATTTGATAGTGGTCTACCGCCCCCCACTCGTAGTCTTCCTGAGCACATCTAGACCAAAGGCAAAAAGGTGCCGCTGTTCTACACGAATATTAAACTACCAGCGATGGCGGGAGTTGTGCAGCTAACGAATAGACCTCTGTAGTCTCCTAACCTAGCAAAAGTGATAAAAATACAGCAAGCTAATAAAGGCGCTAAGTGAATAAAAAACAACCTAATTGACAAACGACTTGTCGCTGGCGCTACCGCTTGTCACATACGTATGTGCTTCTTCCTAAAATGTAGGACTCGTTTTTTAAACATGTGTTTCTTTTGTAAACATAGGAAATAGCGTTAATAGGTAATTATTACAGATCTTTCGCTTTAGGCAAAAAACGGGAAGTAATTGTGCGTTCATTTGAATATTATAGTCGAAAAATGACGAATAAGGGTGATACAATAAGGGTGATTTATATTCTAGCTTTATAGGCCTACGAGACTATACGACTGAATTATATTCAGTCGTATGAGAAAACAGTGCACAAGTGTCAACTTATTACCATATTTGCCGCGTTCAGCTTTTTGTTTTCCTAAATGCTGTGCTCAAGATCGACGGTACATCAATTTGAGTAAATTATCTCTAGACTCACCTGGGCAATTTAGCCTACCGTGTATTTACTTAACGTTGATACTATTACATTACGTGTACTGAAAAAAGGCCGTACGACAGGAAGAAAACTTTGTAGAAATATACTTAGCAGGTAGTTATCGGATAGCTGAGATGCTAAACTAGCTTGAACGGAATTACTAGGTATAATCAAAACGCAAAAGAACTTGAGCATTTATATGTGCGTTCCTTTAACCTATGGTATGCTCTAACGAGATTTACAGTGGCATTTAGCTTACTATGAAATTGAGTACCGACAACTAATGTTGTGATATCACAATGCTTCCGTTCACTGCAGCCTAGCTCCTTCATCATAATAGAAAAGCTTGATTATTTTCCTGATTTTTGGTAAAGCTTCAAATGATATGAAGAACTTCTATCTCAAATAATAACGCAGCTTGTATACGAACGTATATATATATATATATACGCTCGTATATATATAATATATACGAACGTATATATATAATATATACGAGCGTATATATATATATATACCTATATATATATAATTAGCACGCGAATGTCTTAGAAATAAATAAATGTTGGACGAGAGACTGCTGCACAGGCGATTATTACAGACGAGTGGTTCAAAAATGGAATGAGAACCTTTTTGCCTTAAGACTAATCTTAGGGTGTGCGATTCCACGGCAAGCATAAAATGACAGTTTACATACAACCTAGTACGACGTAGTACTGTATTCCTATTGCACAAATGCATAGCAGAGTATTCTGGTGGTAATATTAACAACTTCATCACTGCATATCTGTTGCAGTTGCGACACCAGCAGTAGCAAATTTCAGAGAAGCGCGTCGGGACGCTGTTTCAGTTGCTGGCCGTTAGCGCATAATTCCGTCGCCCCTTCTATCTTTTCTCTATTCGTCAATCGGGCTCAACCGTGCAGTACGTTTTCCCTCATTGCCTATTTATGTTTTTTCGTCTGTCCTAACCCATCGCTGTCTCATCGAAATCTATTACGTTGTTTACTACTGTAAGTATCCAGACGTTGAAAGCAGTCTTTTCTCAGCTATGCTCACTACGTTCCTGGCCTCCAAGTACAAGCGAAAATACGGAGGTGGTGGCTGAAAATGACGATGGTCGGGATTGGCTTGGGGTGCTGCTTACTAGTCCTGCGTCACCGTCTCTAATAGTTACTCTCTTGCTGTCGCACGCTTTTGACCGTCGGGCTACTAAAATGTTGTTTTGGTTGCAGGGCACATTTGGCCAGTTGCTCGCGCGTTTGTCGGTCCTTCCTTGCGCTCGATGTTTCATAGCATCGTCTTTACCGTACACGATGGTATCGTAACGGTAGAGTGTGCCTTTTGCTTAAATCCCTTCGTGTCTGTGAACTATGTTCAGGCTGCGTCTGCTGCTATGCTCGTTTCGTAATACAACCATCTCCATCACCATCTTACTTCTGTGTGCTTCCCTTTACGTTTTATCGTGCTTTCCTTTGAACCTACCGACTATGCCATGCTGTACGGTATACTGTCCTATCGCCCTAAATCCTCTGATCCTATTTCTCTCAGCGTTGACCACAAAACTCTCGTGGTATCCTGGTTGCTTCTCCCGCCCTCTGTCCATCTCAGGCTTTCTCTGTCTTTGCGTTCACTTCGCCACATTCTAGCTGGCCACAGTCATTTTGTTTCGACTAGCCTCGATACTTGCACACCCACGTACACAAGCTGTATCTATTTCTCTCCCTATCTCTCGAGCTTTCTCTGTGTCTCTGGCACTGGGCGTTTCTTCTTCGCTTAGCTACTAGCTCCAGACTCGTGGCGTCCCTTCGCCTTTCACACAACTCGTTCGCCCGCTCACCCACACGTTCGATCTTGCATGTCTCTTTAAAATAACAACGAATGTCCAAAGAACGAGCCCGTAAGCGGCTACACGGCGGCGAACCTCTCAAAGCAGAGCAGCGGGTAATGGTATTGCTAATTAAAAAGGCCATGTTAATGACTTTCCTCGTCGTTGGCAGCAATGACTGCAGGCTGAATTAGGCTCGTAGCAGGCGAAGAGGGAGACGGGTTTTTCAACGCTGGCTCACTGCTTTCCTGACTGAACGTTCACCGGGCCGCTGACCGCCTGAACCCTATGGCTCCGAGCTGTAGAGTCAACGGCACGCTAACGTACGTGTGGCAATCTCAGAGCCCTGCCTCTTTCTCTCTCCCTCTGCTTCGCTGCCTTCGCTACAAAGAAATTCTTGACGAACACCCGCTGGCGTCGGTCTTCGCTTCGTTTCCGCTATGGTAGAATCATGTCAGGCTATGGCCATTCGTTTCACCTCATGACGCCCATCCTATAACGTATCCGGCTGTTGGTGCTGCTTCCCGAAATGCCCTTTTGTCTTCCACTAGCGGCAGCACTGGCGTAGAGGACCACGACAGCAGCGATGCTGGTCGAGGCATCGAGGTCGACCAGCTTGGCGGCAGGTAGCAGCCATCGTTGAGTCGTCTAGCGGCCGTTGTGTACGCGCATTTACAGCGTTGATGCCTCCTTACTCCATACCTAGTTATTCCATCCCATCGTACCGTTAGCTAGCTCATTTCGTTGCTCGTGTTCGTTGTAGAGAAAGAAAAGACAGTTGTCTTCGTCGTTCCCATCCTCGTTCACGTGGCTGGATAGGCGCCTTCGCCAGCCGAGGTTGTCTATATTGTTCTGCTTGGCAGATGCTTCGGTAGCGGTTTTTCCCAAAACCTTAGCTTGGCCAGGCCTTTGCTAGTCTGTTAACAGGCGCACTCGGCCAGGAACGCAGGCGACAACGAGGATGCCCCACAGCGAAATATTTAGGCGACTGCCCCTGGTACCGCCTCCGAGAACGGAAAAAGCCAGTCACAAGCCGACCTTCACGGCCTAACGTTTTAGGACCGAAATAGAGCAGGCAGCGGCAGCAGCAGTAATGTTAGGAATTCCTGTTTTAGGAAAACAACAGAAACGACAACGTGAACAACAGCAGCAGCGGCAGTAGCCTTCGTGCGAAAATATGGACAACGACGCGAGTCGGAAATTGCTTCTATGTCTGTCAACATATCCACCTGCATCGAGAGTAACACCAGCACTGCCAGATGCGTGTACGGCTTCATACGGCTGTACAACGCCGACTAAAGCCCAACCTTCAACCGACTCCTAAACGGTGCCTTTGTTATTGCTGTTCTATACTATTTATGCGTTGGCGTGTCGCTGGCGGTAGCTCGTATACGTGAAGATACGAATCCCTGTAGCTATTGAGGTGCAGCTACATAAACGACGGCAATGATGTAAACGGCGCGCTGAAATGAAAAAGAAAGATATTTTTATTTCCGTCGCCGGAAAAGTCCGATGGTGAATAAAAGAATGCCAGGGCCACTACGATCCGTCGTGCCGGATCACGCTGTTAGTGTTCGTTGAATTAAGTGCTAGTTGAGAACCTGTTAAGCTACTGTATATGATCTATGACGTTACACATTGTGATTGTGCCGTTGCTTTTCGATTGTGTATGGGTTTATGTTCGCATGCTCGCGAGTGGAAAAACAATACTTCTGGAATAATATTACGTAGGTGTTAACGCAGACTTAGATCAAGCCGTTCAAATACATGTGTAAATTTCGTGTATTCCTTTTTTAAAAGCTGATATTTTTCAACGCCAATACCTTCACTGTGGGTGTAGTAATAATGTCTGTCGAACGACGAAAGCCAAGTTAAAATATATTGTGGGTAGGAAATGTGATGATATTGAAGCTTAGCTACGCGATAAGCTGAATTTAAAAACTCATCAAAAACATCATTAAAAAATTTCAAAAACCACAGAGTTTTCACTAGAAAATAAACACATGTCTTCATGGCTATCCCCGTTCGAGCTCGGTGCCCTCACCTATGCTCGGGTGGACCGTCCATCTATATCTGACGTTTCTTTATCTCACAACAAATATATACGATAAAGTCAAGGTATACGATAAGAACGTATTCATATTGGACAAAACCGCGAGTATCTAGCTCAAGTTAGATTTACGACACTACAACTAGCCCGTCGGTTCTGTTTCTCTGCGAAGTCTGCGCCTGCTTTTGCAATATAAGGCTTTTCTGTGAAGTCGTATATTCTGAACGGTTGAAGGGTGCGCGCCGTGGAGACGGCTTGTCGCCAAAACTGTGTTTAAAATGCACCTGCCAACCAAATAGGCGTAACTAATTCTTGTTAAGTCAATATGCGGTGAATCGAAAATGGCCGTGGCTTACATGGCGCCATTTTATTGTGACCAGCATATCATCAGTCTATCAAGTCGTCCGTCTCAGATACGAAACATTTAGAACTTGTTTAAAGCGTGGTTCTCTGTGCCGTATCATTATATAGAGCTGTCAGAGATGGCAAAAAGCTTTTAACAAACTACACGTGTAACGAGTGAACCATGTTTACATTTTTACTGAAACGTGATACAGGTTATCGTAGAACGTAATGTTACTTCTTAAATTAACATTTATCTCCTCAGACTCATTAGTAAAGGGCAAAAAAATATACATTTTGATATTATATTTCATTTAAATATAGGCTGTGACAGGGCATACGTATTGGCTAGACTTCATTTATCAATACGACGTGCTTCCAGTGATAAACGAGGCTTGCGTCTGGAA